CCTGGTTCTGATGGAGGTTTCTTCCTGGTTCTGGTTCTGATGGAGGTTTCTTCTGGTCCTGGTTCTGACGGACGTTTATTCCTGGTTCTGGTTCTGATGGGGGTTTCTTCCGGGTCCTGGTTCTGATGGAGGTTTCTTCCTGGTCCTGGTTCTGATGGAAGTTTCTTCCTGGTTCTGGTTCTGATGGGGGTTTCTTCCGGGTCCTGGTACCTTTTCCTTCTACAGTCACCTCTCACATCAGAAGTTTCAGAGCAGTTTCTTTATGGAGGAAACTTCTTTATTGGTTCTGAATTAATTTTACAAATACTTAATTGGATTGATTTGATCTGCCTCTAACTGGCTTAAACTGGTCTTTCTGTTGGGGTTTGGCTCATATGAAACCATGTCCTAAACCTGAAAACGGCGTGATGGACAGATGTTTTTTGTATGACTCCATACTCAGCATGTTTACCTGCCGGGCAGAAGCTGGAGCTCAGCTCGGCCGTCCTCTGCTGCCCTCTGCTGACCCCAGCCTAACATTACAGGGCTGAAAACACTGAGGACTTCTGCTGAAGCGGCTCCTTAGGTCTCTGTCTGCAGACCCGTAGAAGACGGCTTCTCCTGCCCTCTGCTGGTGTTGGAAGGTAACTCCATCCAGGTAGCTTTAATGACATCCCCACATCTGTGGACATCTGTCCAGGGGCCCCGGAACTGGGGTCCAGCCATGCTGAACTCACCTGGGCGACCCCCATGAGGCCTCTGCCCCCTCAGCCTGTAGACTGGAGGGCAGCACATGCTTTTCTTAATGCTGTGGGGGGAGGACAGTAATGGGGTGGAATGCTTTACTTGTAGGACCATTCACGTTTGGATGATTTGAGAAGAATGGACTGAGAGCAGCTTCATCTCAGCCAGAGCTTTTACAGACCTTCAGGACTGTGCAGTGGTGGATTCCTTCTACTGGCTTATTACCTTGGTGCTGGTTAATGGACTCATCAGGATCCTCTTTCGTATGTAATGACTATAAAAGGGGTCTTAGTCTGTGGTCAGGTTATATCACAGAGCAGTGACCCACTGGGTGCTCTGCGGTGGTCTGGGGACCATCCGTGGAACCGGGTCTGTTGGCTAGTGTTGGCAGAACCCCTGTGACCCTCAGAACTGGAGGGGGGTGTTTGTAGAAAATGGGTGGCTGGTGGGGAAACATCCCATCGTCCCAGCAGGATGCGGGCCGACGGTGGATCAGTTGTGTTCTGCAGACTTGATGTGAGGCTCCTCCCACAGAGATGAGTCTATTCCTTCTCTATAAACGCCACTCCTTTGACTCTCTTTATTTGACTCTTGTTTCTCTGACTCTGGCAAAGACTCAAGAAGAGGCCAGCAGAGCCGGTTTGATCAGACATGGTCTGCTCACTTCTCCCATCAGGTTACATCCACTGGCTGAGGAGTGACTATCATTTGGAACATTCCTATTTTCTGGCTCTGGCCCCCGTCAGAGCCTGATCAGAGGCTCTCCTCCACCTGCTGCTGTGGAAAGGCCCTCAGACACGGCAGAAAGAACGGCACAACCAGACTCACTCAGACTGGTAAAGTTCAGCTTTATTGACACGGTGGCAGAGCTTTTGTGAAGCACATCCAACAGATGATTCATTAATATGGTGGAAAAGCCATAACATTGGCTGGCTGATAAGCTGCTATAAATGTTACCTTTCTGTACTAAATGAAAGGAATGAAAGACATGTGGCCAAGGGCTGTGTGCTGGATGAACTGAACAAGTCACGGTTTTGTTGCACTCTTGAGCTTTTACGAACCACATGAACCCACTTTCTCTCACACACACACGCACGCACACAAACACACACACACACACACACACACACACACACACACACACACACACACAGCACCTCTCAGACTGTGCAGTCTGTGCCTAACACTAACTCCTAACCTTATCCCTAACCCTAAGCTTATCCCTATCTCTAACCCCTAACCCCAACCTTATCCCTATCCCCTAACCCCTAACCCTATCCTTAACCCCTAACCTTATCGCTATCCCCTAACCCCTAACCCTATCCCCTAACCCCTAACCCTATCCTTAACTCCTAACCTGATCCCTATCCCCTAACCCCTAACCCTATGTCTAACCCCTAACCCTAACCCCTTACCCCTAACCTTAACCCTAACCCATCCTTTTTATTTGGCGTGGCTGCTCTGCCTCCGGCAATACTGAATATTTGAGCGTCTTTATATTGCTAATTCATAAGCCATTCACGTGCAATAATGAAACTCAACAACAAAAAGTCTGCATAGCCTCAAAGCATCACTGTGAAGAATCATTGTGCAATGTCGTAGTAATACTCGCGCAGCCTTGGTTCAACAACGCTGAAGCCGGGACGTTCGTCTACCCTGAAACACACAAAGATGCAGAGATCAGGTCTCCAGATAAACCCCTGCCTTCAGCCAGCCTGCCACAAAGCTGCTCACTTACTTGTAGGTCCAGCAGGTCCTCATGAGCTCAGCCATCTCCGGAGGACAGTTTGCTGGGGGGTCCATCCGCTGGCCGCTCTCAATCATCTGCATCACGTCGTTTCCCTTCATCCCCTGAAAATGGAGGTTCCCTTTTAGTAAGCACACAGCTTCCTAAACCTCTGTGTGACCTGTTGGCTCTCTTCCATTTGACAGGACATAGGTCTCTCACTGGGGGGGTGCCTGGTGCTCATGCATGAACCAGATGGGTGGGTACCTGGTGCACCACTACAGAATCAGGCCTTGCACTCCTCCTCTGTGCTGCAGGGGTCCAGATCAACCTGCAGTCTAATGCAGCAGACTGTCTTAGTTTGGCCTTCATTATGTGGAGTTCCAGCCACCGTTCAGCTCCACTGCTGGCCTCACGAGGGCCGGACTTTTTCTATCTGAAGGCTGGTGAAGAGGAGCCTCTGGAAGGGGAATGCTAGCTGACCTGCACAGTCCCTCTGAGGCCTTGGACTGATTCCCACTGGGCCTGAAGCCCTCCCTGACCACCTGAGCTCCTCCCCCACCTGCTCTATGGTTAGACTGGAGGGAGGGGCTCAGCTGGGCTGAGGGGGCCTGTCCAGTCTACTACTGATGTGCGGCAGGACCCCCCCTGACCCCAGTGATGGTCCTCAGTCCTACCTTGTAGGGTTTCTGGCCGTAGGAATAGGCCTCCCACATCAGCACTCCGAAGCTCCACACGTCGCTTTTGCATGAAAACTTGAAGTAGTTTATACATTCAGGAGCATACCACTTCACCGGCCACTTCCCGTGGCCCTTGGCCTGGAGGACGAGAGGGAGACAAACAACAGGAGCCCTGTCTTAGTACGGCCTTACTTCACTGTCATGGCACTCAGCTACAGGCTCCAGCGCATGCTGCTGTTGGCTCAGTAAGTAAGGATCCGTCCATAACTCCTGCTGTGGGCAGGGTAGGGCTGCTCTACCTTGTAGTAGTTGTGCTCCTCGGCCACCGCTTTGGACAGGCCGAAGTCACTGATCTTTGCATAGTGCTGGGTGACCAGCAGCACGTTCCTGGCTGCCAGGTCTCTGTGGACAAAGTTGTGCTCCTCCAGGTACTTCATCCCCATGGACACCTGGTGGACCAGCTCTGTGATGTTCTTGATGGATGTTTGCCTGCAGACAAGCACTTGTTACATGAACTCTGATTCAGCTGACAGCTCAATATCACTGACACCAAACCCCTCAGCTATTTTCTCATACTTCAGTGCTGTTGGACAACGGATGTCTTTAAACTTTTAACTTCACTGAGCTGCTCTGTTCTGATAAATGAACCAAAATGTTTGACTTTCTGCTTCACAGAGAAGCTTTTTCAGCTCCTGAACTTGTCTGTAACATCTGCTGGAGCAGAGCTCATTCAGGGGAAACCAGAGCTGCTTCTGGAGGCAGAAAGCAGAGAGTGGGAGCTGTTTCCTCTCTGGTTCTGATCAGAGGCTCCCAGCTGGATGGAAAACCACTGACAGTCAGAGCGGATCAGGATCTGATCTGAAGCGTTTCAGGGTCTGAATGGTGGCAGAAGGTCCAGCTGTTGTCCTCCAGCTGTTGCCTCCAGCTCAGATTGGCTGTTTTCTAAAGCAGAAGGTGTTTAGCAGTTAGTTCCGTACTTGTTTTTCTGGAGGAACTTGTTGAGGGGGCCCAGCTCAGCCAGCTCCATGACCAGCATGAGGTTCTCGGCCTCGCAGATGCCGATCATCCGGACGATGTAGGGGTTGTCCAGCTGCTGCATGACGTTGGCCTCTCGCAGCATCTCGTCACGCACCGACTGGTTGTTGTCATCGTTCTTCAGGATTTTGACTGCCACCGTTTTCTCTGTTCTGAAGGACAGGAGGGTAGAGTCAACACCATGCTCTGGTCCTTCCGCACCACCCAGACAGAACAGCTAAGACGGACAGTAACGGCCAACAAGCACATCAGCTCCACGGAGAGAGAGCAGGGCTGGGGAAAGGAGAGAGATGTCCCCAGTGGAGAGGAAATAGCTCAGGCTGAATGCCAGGGAGCAGTACTCAGGTATTTAGGGTCAGTTAGACACCAGAGCCAGGTCTACCACCGGAGACGCTCTGGACATGAGAGCTGAGCTCTGTTTAGGACTGAGTTGTTGTTCTTCTGGAAATAACTGAGAGTCGGTCTGAGCTGCTCTGTTTGGAAAGCTGGGAGATACCTGCTGTTGTTGGGATTTGGGGCTATAGAGATAAAACTGAACTGAATCGGGGGCCCGTGTTGCGTGCTGACGTGTGAGCTTTACTTTCTCATCTTGTAAGTGCCTTTAATGACAGTCCCAAAGTTTCCGGAGCCCAGTTCTCCATCCTCCAAGAGCAGGTGGTTCCGATCCACGGTGGAGCTCCTCAGCTCGTCGGGGTCTGCGTAGGGACTCTCGTACACCTCTGTGTCCATGGGCATGGCCTCTGACGGAGGAGAGAGGCCACGTCACTCAGACAGAAGCAGGTAGAGCTGGACAGCAGAAACAGTACGGGGTTCTCCAGCCTACACACTAACAGCCTACCAGGCTGGTCCCTGCCCTCAAACACACCACGGTCTGACAGCCCTGTGGCCCCAGTTTGAGTTACGTCTGGATTCTATTGGCTCATTCATACGTCCTGCCTGGGTGTTCACCTCATTTCTTATGACATTTGATTTTAGTCTCATGAGGATCTCCATTAGAGAACTTTAGCGAGACAATGTTTGTCCTGAACCCTGAAACCCCCCATAGTTCTGCTGGGGGCTCCCATCATGCACCTCTCACCCCTCTGGGCTCCCATCATGCACCTTTCCTCCCTCTATCTCTTCCCTCTGGGTGGTCATGTGAAATTGTTGTTTTTTTAATCAAAAAGTGGTTTGGATGTGAGATACGTTTGTCTGAATTTGGATAAATCAGAACAATTCAGGTTTTCCTAGATTTGGTCCACTTACAGAATACCTGGATTGCAATGAACTGAAGTGAATCTGTTGAGGCTTCCCCTGAACACTGAACCCAACCTGGACTATTCTAAAGCACATGGAAGAGCTGGGAGCTTACCTTTGCTCACCCCGGTTTCATATGGATTGAGGTTTTCACTGTGGTCGTTGGGTGGAGTTTTGGGGTTCTGTTGGGATCACAGAAAAGAAAATATCTGAGAGAACATTCACAGTAAACGTTAACTTTAATCCTTTAACAGTTTGCGTGACCTGCTTAATGTAATACATTAACATTCGTTGTAATGAGGCCCTTAGAGAAGGGGCTTGTGAACATTATCAGGAAATCCTGCCTGTATTTAGAAGATTATTCTAGCAAAAAGGTGATTTTGGAGATAATGTTTTCCAACTTTACGTTGGAAATGATTCTGAATGTGTTTCCATCATTCTGTTTTTTCACTTTTCTGAGACTCTGCTCCACTGTTTTGTGTCCTGTTATCCACCTGTTGTCTTAGTTTTTTATACCACTCACGTTTCCACCTCATGGGAAAACATCTCCCTTCCAACCTTCTACAGGCAAAGAAATGTCTGCTCAGCGTATTTGGGCATCATTGGTTTATCTGTGTGTCCCTGTGATGGACTGGGGACCGTCCAAGGTGACCCCGCCTCTCCCCATTGGCTGCTGGGATAGGCTCCAGTCCCCCCCGATCCCATTAGGGGATCAGGGGTTAAGATCATGGATGGATGGATGCTTAATGTAAGATTCTATTAGGGTTAGGAGACCTTTAGAGGAGTGGTGGCTCCATGAAATGCTCCCTTATCTCTGCTACATCTGACGGTCCAGCAGACTATGGACTGCCTGACCTACTGGGGAGGGCCGCAGCTTATCAGGCAGGACCAGTTTGCCCAGTCCCACCAGCAGGGACCGGCTGTGCTCTGTGGTCAGACGGCTGGTGTGGGCAGCTCACTCTGAGCCGGAGGAAAGCTGGACGTGGCGGGGTAAAGTGGTCTGGAGCTGCTGGGGGGCGTCTATGAAGTGGGGGGGGGTGTTACTGTACCTTTTCAAAGCCAAGCATGGCAGCGATTTTGGGGAGAAGTCCATCTGCTGCAGTTTGCTGTAAAACAGGGAAAGTGTCACACATTTGAACAGGACAGAGCTTAAAACCAGGATCTGTCCGGTCTGGAACTGAGACAGACCGAAACCCGTCAGCTGGACTGACTCCAGTCCAGTAAAACGAAAGTATCAAAAGCTGATTGGCTGCCCTGGATGGAGGCTTTTAATTGTACTGCAAAGATCACCGTGGCAACCAAGGCTGACCTCATGACCTCTGGACTAGGACCCCGTTCTAGGCCATCTGTTTCTGCCCCCCCCCCTCTGGATGGGCTCCTGCTTGGCTCAGCAGGGTTCAGTGGGTCTGGTGTCTGGTGGGGGCTTTTGTTGGACTCAGTAAAGCTCCTCTGTGGCTTCCTGCCAGCGTTGGGCTCCACCCTGAGCGACTGCAGCATAACTGAAACAGCTTCCTGTTTTAGCCCTTCTTCTAACATTTCCTCTGTAGAAATACACAAACCCTCACCGGACTCAGTGTTACGTACGCTGAACCTGTCAAACACTAACCACAAACAATGCAACACACACACACAACACACACCCACACACACACACACACACACACACACACAGACACACGAGACTTATAACTTACAATGCTAGCAACCAGCCCATGGTGGCCATGTCCTGCTAGACCTGTGGAGATGGGGGGGGGGGGGACAAAAAAGGATCAGATGGGGTTTTTTGGGTGGCTGATGAATAAAACCGGCTTTTACCCATGGCTCCATCCGGTCTGGGACAGGGTTCTGTGAGTACTCGCAGCAGGCCGTCAGGTTTGTATGAGTAGTGCTCCACCAGCTGTGATGTGGAAAGAAGTGTACACATGTAAAAGCTCTGGTCAGCAGCCCAGATGTTTCAACCAGCTTTAAACAAAAAGCAGAAGAGGAATTGAAAAAGGCAAAGCATTAGACAGTGGCTTGCAAAGTATTTGGTATATTTTCTTCTATGCTTTGAAGCCTGAAATGATCATTTTTTAACCATTTGTATGTATTAAAACGTCTTTGTTGCATAAATAAAAGCCCAGGGAGTGTAGAGCTTTTCTCCTACAGTGTTAGATAAGGAGCTGTTATCTTCCTCAGCTGGCAGATCAGAGTTTCAGGGACACGGGAGGCGCGGAGCCCCCAGCAGGAGCCTGGACAGAGGTGGGTACGTGCTAATGGGAGGCTCTGACAGGGGACTCAGCCTGGTGTTATTCCTGACAAATCCATTTCTCTTCACACAGCCGGAGGAAGGATGTGACAGCAGGAGGAGAAGTTTCCACCCTGCCGGGTTTCATCCTCAGCCCAGGAGCCAACAGAGACGGCTCAAGATCTGGAGCCCTTTTGGAGGAGAGCCATTAATCCATCCTCCACCTCTAAATCCTGTCTAATGAGCTGAACCTAACCTAATCAGAGCCCCCCCCATCCCTCTGGCATAGTCCTGATGTTAGAGCTGTCATTGGACATGGTTCTCTAAAGTGTACTCGTATCTATCCTCCTGGAAAATGCAGCATTGGAAAATGAGAGAACACTCCTCTGTGAATCCCTCCAATAGAGGAGCTCAATAGAGCTCTGCTTCTGTGCTTCCTTTGACCATGATGTCCTCCAAAATCCAAATGTAATCCGGGTTTGTGGTGGCTTTGGAAGCAGCAGCTGATGCTGGTGTTGGGGGCGGTGGAGGATGTTTGTGGCTGTGAAAGTCTGACCTCTAAGTTCATCGGCTGGGATTGTTGATGACCTTCAAAACTATTTGTTATCTTCTAAAACATCAACTCCTCCAGCTCTGGAACTGGGCCTTTCTGAGCTCTGCTTCAGCGTGCTCCACACGTGTGGAGACAGTGTTCAAAATGGAAATAGTCCTAAAGTGAGCATTCACCTGCCACAGGGTGTCGAACTTCTTGCCGTCGGGGATGGACAGCTTGCCGCTGCGGTCCCTGTCGATGCGGTAGTGCATCACCTGGCCCTCGTGGAGTAGGCAGAGCGCGTAGGACCCGCTCTGGTCTCTCTGCCGAATCCTGCACAGCACAACACAACAGGTGCTTAGAAAACAGACCTCTGGTTGTTTGTGTGTCTTCTATGAAAGGATGGACCCTTCATGGTCTGGCTGAGGGCTGAGGGGTGGGCTGAGGTGGGATGTGAGGGGCCCGGACCAGCCCACACCTCCCTCTCCTCCAGCTCTCCTCCGGCTGGGGGGGGCTCAGGGCCCGGCCGGCCAGCTGGGGGGGGCTCAGGGCCCGGCCGGCCAGCTGGGGGGGGCCTGCGCACCTCTCATCATTTATAGCTTAAGGTCAACAGATGTAACACCCAAAGAAACTTCCTTTTTCTTTTCTCTTTTCCTTTAGATTCACCCCCCTCCATGCCAGCATGTGAAGCCTCTGAGTCTGACACAAAGGTAATTAAGCTGAGATTTACACACACAAACACACTTGTCCTTTTGATCACCGATCATAAAGCTTTTTTTCTTTAGCTCAACTGAATTGAACTCAACTGAAGCACCGCTCAGTTCAAAGGCTTCTGTAATGACTACTGTCATCCATCCCTTTCCCTGTATTCAGGACTAAGACGTGGAAATACAATCATTCCTCCCGATTAAGCAAAAAAAAAAGGCTGGGTTTATGAAAAAATATTTCAATTAAAACAGTGACCAGAGAGTACACTCCTCTGTTGAGCCCTCCATCTACTTCAGCTCTCATTTGAGAGCTTCTGAGTTCACCTCTGGACCTAAACCAGGTCATGAGTAGTCCAGAAACGGACTACAAATAAATCTGGAACCATCTGATGGATTTTTTATAGAAATAAGTACAAAGTATTGATAATGGTCACTGTGTCTTTAAAAGACAGAAACTGTTGTAAAATATTTCCCAGCTGATAGAAAGTGGCGTGCTCTGGTTTAGTGATGCTGCCAACCCAACATCCTGCCAACAGGCTCCACAGGGGCTAGTAAACCAGCAGATGGCACCAGTTCCCACCATCTGAGTTCAGCTGGAAGTTTTGGCAGCGGAGTAGAGAATCCTTCACACAGGTCAGAGGCTCGAACTGCTGAATCCAGCTGTGTGTGGATGTCCAGAGGGAGGCCTGGACAGGAATACCAGGCTCTACCTGGCCTGGCTGAGCCAGAGACAGCTTAACTGTTTCTGATAACCTGATATTCAGGTTAAGAGTGGACATACTACGCTAATCAGACTGGAAAATGACCAAAAACCAGAGGCAGACACCACTGTTCTGGACCCACCATGTGGGGACCGACCATGTGGGGACCGGCACCATGTGGGGACCGGCACCATGTGGGGACCGGAACCATGTGGGGACCG